TGTCATGATTTTTGACCTCTAAACCTTCCCCACTTAGATTTCGTTGGATTTTTCTCTCACTAATCCAATGGGTTTTTCTTCTTAGAAAAATGTTTCGGAGCACTAATTAGTGCTCCCACTAATTAGGTGACAGTGGGTTCCGCTATTAATGATGTGATGTTTTGGTCTTGGAGTTGTATTTTTTTTTTTTTAAACTTTTTTAATGTATTAGTGCTATTAGTGATGATGTTTTTAGTGGGATGAATCATGGTTGTTCTTCTTATAGCAACATCTGCCCATAATTGTTTTCAGGAGTAAAGTGAAAGGAATTTATAGTGAGGGAATTAATAGTAAGGGAATTAAATAAAATTATATTTGGTTTGATGATAGTTGTTAGTGTAGGAATTGTTAAATTATTTTTATATAAAATAAATATAAAATAATAAAGCAAATTAAAAAAAATGTAAAAACATTAAATATTAATGTTTTAAAAAAAATGTCCAACATGTAAAAAATTTTAAAAAAATAAAAATAAAATAAAAAATTGCCAAAAAAAATAAAACAAATAAAATAATGATTTTTACTTAACAAAAAATATAAAAAATTAAATATTAATGTTAAAAAAAAAATGCCCGACATGTAGAAAATAAAATAAAAAGTAAATAAAAAAAAAATTTCTAGTCCACTATTTTTCTAATATCAAATTCTGAAGTTCCATCCGAATCCCTTTGGGAGGCCCATCCTAATCCGGAACTCACTATTAATCCCCTCTCCATCTTTCAAAATAAACATAATATTAATGGATCCCACCTCACTACCAATCCGAATCTCCCCTCTAACTCTCCAAACAAACGGGACCAAGGGGTTAAAAAGTAGTTAATAAATGGGCTATGAATGGCTAAGGAAGTTACATGGTCTGTTGGAGAATATTAATAAAAATAAATATTTTTAAACTTTTCAAATTTGATGAGATTTAAACTTTTGAGTTATAAAATTAAGATTGACAGTATGTAGTTATGTTGGGTATTATTGCATAGTTATTATGCCAAATTTAATTATTTAAATGTTACCGTTATGTGATTTAATCTTGTAACATTTTTATTTATTGGTATTTAACACTTGGTTTATTTTTGGGCTTTCTATGTTTTGTAAACTAAAAATCTTGAAATTCATGTGCTAGTGGTGTTGGAGGCTTTAGTGGTGGCAACAACAGTGGTAGTAGAGTGGTCGTAGCATTAGTCAAACTTTAATTTTGAATTTTTTTTCCCACTTTTCAAAAGTGAAATAATTTTTTTATCTAAATAAACTTGTTTTTGTTACACTTTTATTTTTCATTTCGCCAAATGTCAAAAAAAATATAAGATATAAAAATATTTCCACCCAAAACAAACGAAGATTAATGCACGTGGCCAATTCATTTATTTACAAAAAAAATTCTTCTATAAATACCCGAGCCATTGAGTAGTGAAAGAGATGAGGTTACTAGGAAATTAATGCACAGGCCAATTCATTTTTTTTTTTGAGAATGTTTGGAAAGTGTTCTTCAAGCTAATTTTATTGATTTCATAAGCAATTTTGACACATATTTTTCGGGCGGTCGTAAACAGTGTGAGTGTTTGGATTGAATCGTATAGTTGTTATATACCTTCTGTGTAACAATCCTGGTCCATAATTAATATTAATTCATGCTTAGTTACACCTAATAAATAATTGAAGTGAAATGTTGCATCATATGTTGACTTATGTGTATATATACATCTGTTTAACATAGAAAGATCTGTTCACGTTTTCATTTCGATTTGTGAATTGAAGGTCTTATCGGCATCCGATTCAGAAATTGACTTGATTTATGTATTGATTAGAGTTTTTAGAATTTTATGGTAGGTTTAATTGAAATTCGATTCGGAACGATTAAATTAGACTAGTTTAATGCCCATTTGATTAGCTTTATTGAACCATCACTAATTACCTATATAAGGCCACTACCGAGCCCAAGACTCTCTTTTATCTCTTTCATTTTTGAGCTCAACGTGTGAAGAGAGAGAGAGAGAGAGAGAGAGAGAGAGAGAGAGATTGAAGTTAACATTAAAGAAGGAAGAGAATTAAAAAGGAAATAGGGGAGATTGAAGAGAATTGAGGGAGTTTAGTCCCAACACTTGCTAACTCAAGGCTTGAGGTAGGAAATTCAATTCCTTAATTATGAATCTAAATTGCTTGGTGTAAGAATTCAAGAGGATTAGAAGATTAAACATGAGAATCAAGCTAAAATTTGAGAATAGTAACTCATACCATGCATGCATGCATAGTTTCTCATATTTTGAGTTAATTTCCAAGAATTCCCTCATGTATGTCTTTAATTCACCTTTATTTTGGAAAATAATCAAGTTTCATGTTGTTTTGTGGTATTTGATCATGTTTTGAGGAGCTTAAGTTCAAAGAAATTCATGCATGTCATGTTCATGGATCATTTATAAATTTTAAGTTGAATTTTTTGCATAATTGGCAAGTTATTTGGCCATGATTTTTTGAAAAGATTCTTAATTCATGATGTATTATGGATTTCTAAGTGTTCCTCAAGTTTTGGCCTAAAAAAATCAAGTTTTGATACTTAAAGATTGAGTTTTGAGCTTTGGAAACAAATCTGGAAATTTCAGAATTCTGCTTTCACGCTCGAGCGACCACTCTGAGTGTGTGCACTTTCGCTCGAGCAACCATAAGTCCGCTCGACCGTGAACTGCAAGCTCCCAGAAGTTCATGTGTTGTTGTAGATCTCTCGAGCGACAAAAGTTACACTCAAGCAAGGGTTTGGGTCTCACGCTCGAACGAGGATCGAGCGTCTGTTGAGCGTGAAAATCAAGTAACCAGTAGTTTTTTCAAAATTTGCAGACCGCTTGAGCAGAGGGAGTTGTGCTCGAGTGAACCTTCATATTTTGCATGTCCACTCGAATGAGGAAAGCCATGCTCGAGCGTGGACCCTATTTTCAGCAAGTTTTGAAAAATATTTTTAAGTACATTTTTGCATCGTCATTCCATCCTAGGTATTCCTAAACTAAGATGAAGACACCATAATGAGGATAAAGGCTAGAGACACACTAAGAACAATGAAATAAGTCATGTACACTCCAAGCGTGTGTTTCAATGTATGTTCTATTATGTTATGTAGGTCACGCGTCGCAAGACATCTGATTTGCTTATTCTGTCTGTTTACCTTGGAGCCACTGTTATCTGTGAGTAATAATTTTGTAAAAAACTATATTTAATCATAAGTATTTTCTGAACGATATAAGATGATCTATTTCTGAAATATTATTTTCTGTATGAATGAATGGTTGTCCAATGTTTCTGAAATGTATTCGTGGCATTCTTAGCTTCAATGACATATGTTATTTGTTATGTTACGTCCCAATTATGGGTTAACTGTACGTCTCATGAGCCAACTGTTATGGATCCTTATGTATACGTCCCTTTTATGGGCCAACTGTACGTCTCATGAGCTAACTGTACCGTCTCCATGCACGAGAGTCAACTGTATGCCTTTATGGCCGTCCCTTTATGGGTCAACTATTTCTGCTATTGCTAATGAATGTGCCACGTATGATTAACTGCAAGTTCTAATTATGAATACGACTCCGAAACTATATCTGTTTTGTACTATGATTTCTGAACATAATTACGAATTTATTTCTAACAACTATTGAATTCTGTTTTCTGTAATTGTTACAGACAACATTCATTAAACCTCTTTATTCTGTTATTATTCACTGGGCTCCAACTCACTATTTATATTATGTATATAGGTGAGCAGGCACGTGACCAGGCCCAGAGTTGACGGCCTATGTTTTGTTTTGTTAGCTAGCTACGGTGCCTCCTAAGGAGGTTCCTTTTGAGAGGATTATGTCAAGGCTTAAGTTGAGCTTGTTGTGTATATCTGTACTTGGGCTAAGTACCCTTTGATCCTATTTGTGTAGTTGGGTGACGCAAGACTAATATATTTTTGACGTCACATCTGTATATATATAAGTTTGTTTTGAAAATTTCTATCCCATGTATGTCTACACAACTTTATGGACTATGTTAATTTTGTATATTTGCTTCTGCAGCCCTTATTTTATGTTATCCTGTTTAGAGGCCTTTGGTAATCTAATGATTATTGGCCGGTTACGACGTTAAACCCATAAAGACGGGTTTGGGTTGTGACACTCTGTGAGCAGCTTCTTGTATTGGGATAAACTACAGGGATGAATACACATGCTTTTCCAATTCTCATAGGGCAGATCTTTCTCACTTTCTATTATTCAGAAAATAATTACATACTCCCCAAATATAATGCGACATTGTTTTTGTGATACTTCCTGTCAATTAGAATCCGCAATATAATTGAGTTATTTCTTATCTACCAATTATTTAACAAAAGTGAATCAATAATCTCACTCATAAAATATTTTATTGCGTGATTAATTTATAATACCACAAATAATATCATAGAATATTATCCCTATTATTCTCTTAATTTTATATGTAAATTTAATTTCTCACAAGTTCAGGAATATCTACAAGAGTCTTTTAGTAATTGTACTTTATTAATTAAAATTAAATTATTGCATAAATGTTTCCAACAGTTATATGTTGATGGGTGGATCTGGTCTAGGTACTTGCACCAAAAACTAAGTTGCATGCCAGCTTCATTGTGCAATATTAAAAACAAAAACAAAATCATAAGACCCCTCTTTGAAGATCAACGCGCTTTTCAACAGACATAGAAGTTGACTCCAACATATTTAAAAAAATAATGGTTGGGACTCCTTTTGGGGTCACCCCTCCCCCCTTTGCCACGTGGCAGGGGATGATTGGAGGAGCAGGAAAAAAAAAAAAAAGAAAAGAAAAGGTAACCAATGAGAGAGAAGGGGTCAAAGGGGTGGGGAAAAAAGGGGATGAATCATTACTCATTTAAAAATTTAAAATTCCCAAGGATTTGCATATAAATATATAAGGATATCCCACAATACATATCATCCAAAAACTTGTACTATGACACAGATGGCTTCCATGCAGTCTACCATTTGCATTTTCTCTCTCTTTCTCACCCTCCATTTCTTGTCTCCATCCCTTGCAAATGCCTATTCCTCAACACCAACCTCACCGGATACCATTTGCGATTCCACACCTTTCCCTTTCTTCTGCAAATCCCTGTTACCAAACAATCAATCTTCCACCATATACGATTATGGCCGGTTTTCCATTCACCATTCGCTAGAAAGAACTAGTAATTTCCTTTCATTGGTCAACGGCTTCCTCAGACTCAAATATGGGCTCTCCCAACCCACTATCCGTGCTCTCGAGGATTGCCAGTTCCTCATTGGCTTAAACATAGATTTCTTGTCTAGCACTATTCAATCCATCGGTTCTACAAATATCCTTCAAAGTTCACAGGCCGAAGACACACATACCTTGCTTAGTGCCATTATGACAAACCACCAAACCTGTTCAGATGGGCTTCAAGCCACAACTCCATCTTCTAGCATTCAAAACGCCCTTTTAACCCCTTTCTATGATGGAAACAAGCTGTACAGCGTATCGCTTGCGCTATTTAGGCACGGTTATGTTCCTCAGACAGGAAAAGGCAGGTGGCTAGCACAAAGAGAGTCAGTGTTTTCAAAAAATGGTCACTTGGGTCTGAAAATGTCGAGCCAAGAAGACCGAAAGGTTTACGAGTCAGTGAGTGGAAGAAAAGTCCTGCAAACTAGTGTGGGTGGCGGTAATGTGAAGGTGAGCGAAATGGTGACTGTGAGCAAAGATGGGAGCGGGAACTTCAGCACGATTAGCGATGCGGTGGCAGCTGCACCAAACAAAACCGATGGTAGCAATGGCTACTTCATGATTTATGTGGTTGGAGGAGTATATGAAGAGTATGTTTCAATTGCGAAGAACAAACAGTACTTGATGATGGTCGGAGACGGGATTAACAAGACTGTGATTACGGGGAACCGGAGTGTGATTGACGGGTGGACTACATTTAATTCTGCAACATTTGGTAAGATGATTTCTAACCTTAGATTGTGCTGTAAAATCTGTGTTCACTGTTTTTATAATCTATAATGATTGCCTTTCAGATCACACCGAATGGTAATATAAAAATCATTAAAGCGGAAATTGAGTTATGCAATAAATCTTAGGCATGTGCAGTTTTATCGTATTGGTATTAGAGCAATATTTGAAACTTTTACCCATTCAATATTGTTTCTCTATCCAAAACATTTTAGGTCGTTGGATTATGTTTTAAAATTTCGTGTCTCGATATTTTTATATTATTTAATTAATGGGTGTGAGTATTTTATGATAAGAAAAGACAAAAAGATTTAAGGAAATATGATCTTTGGCTTAATTATTTTGTAATAAAGATCCCCTGAGACTTATAATATTAATAGTTAATTATACTATAAGTCTTGTAGTTTGATTTAAATTTCATTTAGTATATATAGTTAATAGTTTTAATTTAAACAATTTGGTTCTTACATTTAAGTCTAGTTTTAATTTAGTTTTCTGCCTAGATTCGAGGTTAAAAATTGACAATTTTATGATAGTTATTAATTTTTTAAAGTTTCAATTTGGTTCTTTTATCTAAATTTGAGATTACTATTAACAATTCCAAGACACTTTTCAATTTTATAAATAAAATTACACCATTGGTTATGTCATTTTGGTCCTTACACTTTCAATTGACTTAATTTTGACATTATAATTATAGATTTTGTGTCAATTTGGTCAAATTGATAATATTGTTAGTGATTTTTAAGAAAAATTATCACTAAATTGATAAGGTTAACTCACTGAGTTGAGTAAGTTTATAATATTTTCCTTAAAAATATTACACAAGATACTTATGTACATATTTTTTATAAAAAAGATTAAAAGTTGTAATCAATTAGATCAAATTAAAAAATGTCATAAAATCTTATCAAAATTGAGTCAATTATAATTTCATAGACTAAAATGACATAGGCCAACAAGGACTATCATCGAAATTTGTCCTCACAAAAAATTATATCAAATCTAGTCAATTAAATATCAGAGTCTCATGTTTCAAGCAATTCAAATCAAAACTAAGGGCTCGTTTGGTTTGATTTTCTGAAAAAAATTTGGGAAATTTTCTCTACAAATAAGTTTTCAAAAATAACCAAACCAAACAAATTTTCCCAAAAAAATTTCCCAAAACTTGTAAACCAAACAAGTTTTCCAAACAAATCTCTCTCTCACACACATCAAATCAATCACTTTTTCCAAAACTCTATCTCAAAATAATTTTCCAAAACATCTTTTAAAAAAAACCAAACCAAACATGTTTTCGTACTTTTTATCTCTAAAACACATCTCTCAAACACAAACCAAACATACCCTAAATCTTACAATTAGAATGAATACTTTTATTGCAGCCGTAGTTGGACAAGGATTTGTGGCAGTAAACATAACCATTCGCAACACAGCAGGAGCAGTAAAGCATCAAGCAGTGGCACTTCGAAACGGCGCCGATCAATCCACTTTCTACGACTGCAGCTTTGAAGGCTACCAAGACACCTTGTATGCCCATTCTCTCAGGCAATTCTACAGACAATGCGACATCTACGGCACAGTGGACTTCATATTCGGAAATGCTGCTGTAGTTTTCCAGAACTGCAATATGTATCCGCGGCTCCCCATGCAAGGCCAGTTTAACGCAATCACTGCGCAAGGCAGGACAGATATAAACCAGAATACCGGTACTTCAATACAGAATTGTAGCATTACAGCTGCCCCTGACTTGGCGACGAGCAATGGCACGACACAGACGTTCTTGGGCAGGCCGTGGAAGCAATACTCAAGGACAGTTTACATGCAATCGTTTATGGATAGCTTGATTGATCCTGCTGGTTGGATTGCATGGTCCGGAGATTTTGCACTGAACACGTCGTATTATGCAGAATACAATAATAGAGGGCCGGGGTCCAGTACTGCTAGCAGGGTTACTTGGCTCGGTTATCATGTGATAACCGCAACGGATGCGATTAACTTCACTGTCTCTAATTTCATATCAGGAGATGATTGGTTGTCTGCAACTGGAGTCTCTTACACTGCTGGTTTAACATGATCATAGCAACTTGAGATGCCTTATTTATTTATTTATTTGTTCTTTTATATTCAAATTTGATTCTATTTTTTGTTTTTGTTTTTTTTTTCCTCAAAATTGCAATTAATTCATGATGTATTTACTTGGAAATTTGAATTTAGTTATTTGTTTTAATCTAAAGCATTGTCTCTATTATTAAAAATTTTACCATGTGCAATTGTCAAGGTTGCCCTCCACCGGAATCAAGTTCTTAGCTAGATCAAGCAATTGCGTCATGCAAGTACAGTGTTGGGAAATTTTCTAAGTTATTTTTCGAACAGTTTGAATGTCCATGTTAAGGTGCAAGTGAAAGAAAAGTGCTTAATTACCAAGACTAGTGTGGTTTTAGTGGACATAGAAACGATTAATGGACTGAAAAGAGTAATGAGGCCCAATACAAAGCTTAGCCCAATTTCAAGATACACTCTTGCTGCGTGAACATGTTCTTGTGCAATTTAGTGAAGTTTGGGCAGCTTAATACAGCAAAATTCTTTGTACCCAGCAAATTTATATTCTCCACATTTCATTAAATTAACATTTATGCTTCCAAATGACAAAAGATAGGCGTATGAAAAACAAAGAATGTCTCAGAGAGGTGGACTCCACGTGGATTCTACACTGGGTTCCATGCACATCCACTTGTGAAATATTTTGTGTGTTTTTTTATTTAATTTTTAATTTTATTATTATCAGTTAAAGAAAGATACATTTATTGATAAAAAATGAAACGGATACATCAATAAAGACAAAGGATGAGTGAAAAGAGCATCATAACGAAACATACCAATCCCAACTAGGTTGGCACTAATATGAACGCCAATCGCATACTATCACTCCAAGAAGAGTAGGTGAGCGGCCAACCAACACAAAGTAAGAAAAACATCAAATAACAAGATACCCCAACCATACCAAAAAACCCACCCAGCGAGACAGAAAACAAAGGGGCACCATAGGCCAAGCTAATAAAACATCAATAGCAAGGCAATAGCAGCACCCTTCCACAAGAGTCACCCCTCCTCTGCTTCACCCCTGCAATAATAATATCAGATACACATCATCACATTATAACTTATCGTTTTATTCATAATTTTTTTTTTTAATATAAAAGGACCCCATTTTCAAAATTCGCCTTAAGCCCCGATGAACTCAGGGCTGGCCCTGATCGCATACTATCACTCCAAGAAGAGTAGGTGAGCGACCATCCAACACAAAGTAAGAAAAACATCAAATAACAAGATACCCCAACCATACCAAAAAACCCACCCAGCGAGACAGAAAACAAAGGGGCACCATAGGCCAAGCTAATAAAACATCAATAGCAAGGCAATAGCAGCACCCTTCCACAAGAGTCACCCCTCCTCTGCTTCACCCCTGCAATAATAATATCAGATACACATCATCACCTGTTGGAGGCTCTGTACAATTTCATCAACAGAATAATCATAGCATATATCATGAGCTTTCATCCAAAGTGCCATTCTAACTTTGATAAGATCACACAAGACCTCAAGATTTGGTTGGGTACCAGAGAAAATACACTCATTCCTATACTTCACACAGACCAAAATACTATTACTCGTATAGCTCTCCAAACCTGCCTCTTCCTCTTTCCGAAATTCCAGCCCATCCACCATTGTAACAAACTTTCCACAGATCCAGGCATTACCCAATTCAACCCCACCAATCAATTATGCATGACGACACCTGCCACAAAAAGGGGCACCATAGCAGAATATGATTCAAAAATTCTGGCTCTGACTTACACAAAACACAACATAAATCCACATTGTTCCTAAGCACCCCAATTCTATTTAAAAAGTCAGATGTTTTAAGCCTGCCTTTCCATGCTAGCCTTGATATAAAATTAGCTTTGGGTGGGGAGAAATTATTCCAAATTAAGGACGGAATGCCCTTCTCTGGCGTTAATGACAGTTGACACCACTTATAGGTGGTGCTAGCATTTTCTGTCAAAGCATGCCTATGAATTATTATTGGGTGGTGCTAGATCCATGGAGTGATTCAGCAGCCCGACTTTGCCCGTATGACGCGGCTCGGTGATGTGATGCTGATGTGGAAAATAATTTAATTTATTATTATTTTAATTTTTTTTCAATTACTATTTTATAATATTAACAATATTACTGATTAATAATATTAATATCACTCATATTCTTACAATTTGAGTTGTTTAATTTTAGGCCTACTATATTTTCAAAATAAGAACAGTATCTAAAAGTTTTGATCGCCACTTGAACATAGTCAGCATATGGCTCTGGCATTGGCAAGCTTCCAGTTTCAAGAGGTGGCTAACCTAAACCTTTCCTTTCTTAGATCAGGTTTAGTACAGATCTGTTTCGTTTCACACCTCAGATCATAACTCTACTACTATATTTGGATATCTAGGTAACCTTTTGAAACAACTCTTAGGCTAAGTTTGGCATCTTAAAAAAAAGTCAAAAAGTCACAAAGTCATTATCCTATTTAAGTCACATCATCTTATTTAAGTCACATTACCTCTCTACCACATCACTTCAAACCTAACCCATATTTCATAAAAAGTCAAAAAGTACACTTATTTAGAACATTCCAAACAACCCCTTAATATAATAACACAAAGAACTAGCACACCACACAGGGAAATATATTATTCCAAAGAAACTTACATAAATAGTAAGGGTGTCTATAGACTGTTTACATTACCAAAATATTGTTTGCTCTAAGAAGGCTTGAGGTCCAGACTTTTTTCTTAGCTCAAGGATACTCTAAGGAAATCTATGTCCCTTACTTACAATTGAAGGCCCTTTATATAGGCACTTCTGGATTTTAAATTCAGAATTCAAACACACTTAATACAGTACAATAATTCACAATGTACGTCTGGATAAGGTACAATTATTAAAGTTAAAGCTGAAATGAACATAAGGCTGATAAGATAAGGCCAACAGATAATGCTAGGCTGGTATTGTTTTTTTAGTCCATAGCATTTGCAAGATTCCTTCGCCTTTATCACCTATGATATCAGCATAATCGTAATCTTTATCATCCTCTTCCATCATGGCATCTATATCGGCTAGTTCTTGCTCCATCATATAATCTCTCAAAAAATTACATCCTCTTTTTGATAGTGTGGAGAAGTGGTTTGGAAATACTCTTCTGATCCTGGGGGACGCTTGTGATCCGCTGATAGTCACCTAAAAATGGATAAACATTCTGGTCGGGGGTGCCGGCATTAGCACTCCGACGGACAAGTCAGTCTCCACACTCAAGAATGCTTATATTCTAAGTTAAGCACAATAATTCTCACATACCTCCTTCTGGCTGATATTTCTTCTATTTATATCTTTTCTACTTTGGGCCCCGGGATTAGATCCATTTCCCACCTCATATTCAGCACATTTTATAATAGACCGATCTTCACTCGGCCCCTTGCTTAGTCGGTTATTTGGCCGAGTAGGGTTGGATTTGAGCTTTTGAGCCAATTGCCGAGTGCTTCGAATCTCAACTCTCCCAGATTCGACTATTCGGAATCTCTACGACTTCCAAATCTTGGCCCCCCACAATTGCCCCCCAAACACTCCATTAACGACAGTTGGCTGGAGTGTTTGGCTTCGAACTCGAAGAGTCAGAGCCGAAATTCGGCAGCTGACCGTATTCCAACGCAAATGTCTGTGCGCACACTTCTCGGTTATCATTTCAACTTCCCGCCTCTTCATACACTTCTATTTATTGCGATTTAAAATTTCGACGTCTTTTCAAATGCATACACGCTTTTAGACGCCCATCGCTGGACTGCCTTCCGAACTACCTCTGCAACTTCGTACTCTTCTCTATCTCCTTCACCTCTTGTAAGTTCTCTCATTTTCTACTTTAAATCTCTTTTCTTGCTTTGTTTTTTGGCTTAGCATAATCCTACTGGCTGGGGGGAATGGCGAAACATTTAAAAGATCTCCTCTTACCAGATCGAATTTCTAGCTTCCGATGCCATTTTTCCATTCCTGATGACGTTCGTCTGTCATTTGTGGCAGACGACACCCTCAATATGGAGAGGGTTGATGAAACCATGATCATCTTCCCTCTTTTATCAATCGCAGAGGGTAGGGTCCATTTCCCTCTTTACCCACTTCTTAGGGCCGTGCTTTGCCATTGGGGGTTAATCCCTTCCCAACCCAACGTCAACTTCTTTAGGATCGTGATGGGGATTATCGCACTAAACCGCCGCCTTGGGCTTAACCTTGGCATTCCCGCTATTCGGCATTGCTACGCCTTGGCCAAGTCTTCTGGTCGGCACGGGCGTTATTTGCTTAGGGCCAAAGACACTGACCATTAACTAGTGACTAAGCTTTCCAGCTCTGGGAAGCGAGTCTATGATGTTATGGTCGTCGTCCAAAGAAACTTGGAATTCGGCGAAGGCGAGGATCGCCTTGATTGTATTCCTAGACAGAGGGGCAAACCAGGTGGCCGAGTATATTCTTTTATTTATTTACTTGTTATAATTACAAAACTTTATTTTCAGGACCTCATAGTTTTGCTTTTGCAGGAAACGATTTGAAGAAAGTCTTGACCTCGACCGATGACGCCGTCCTTTCGGAAATCAAGACTGCGTTCAAGTATTTCGGCCGACCGAGTCTTCAGAAGTAGGGGAGGGCAGCCCATGTTCTACTCCGCTACAAGCCGACTTATATGACCTTTTCGGCGGCGAAAAACATCCCAATTCCGAAGGGTGAGGAGTTTCTTATCGCCCTTATCTTGACTGATTTCAGAAATTAGAGGCAAGTCGGTTGCGAGGGATCAGATTCGGAGCGACCGGAAGTAGCTGAGGCTGCCAAGTCAGACCAATCCAAAACTGAGGTTGGCGTTTGAAGTTAGCATTCGAAGAAGCCGGCCTCAATTCGGCTGATCCTCCGTCCACTTCGGGTCGAGAGGACCGTCCGCTTGATGATATTTTTCACGGTCAAGAGGACCTTCCCGGCGCGTTCCCAGAAGATATGGCTAGGTTGAGCCTCACTAAACTTGCCAAGAAGGCAAACACAGAAAGGATGGCCGCGCGGCGAAGGGTAGAGGAGATTCAGGCTGCCGAATCTCAGTCCCAGTCCTCCTTGCCTGTTATTGAGGGGACGACAAAGAACGGAAGTACCAAGG